CCTTATCTTCCCATTAGACTGGGATATCCACACTTTTCCTTGTATGAGATATCCTTTTCTCCCCATTAGACTGGGATATCTACAATCAATTCAACTGTATGCATCCTTCGAGAATCCCTATAGAACCAAACACACAGTACCCATTTGGACAATAAATATGTTCAAACTCAAAACAATTAAAACGCATTTCATCTCATTTAACATACTGACACCAATCGAATTTTGGCAACGGATTATTCAAAAGAAACAAAAATAGGTGTTTTGCACTGACAACTGACGACAGTGTATCTTATCCTGGTGTGAGATACCCTTATCTCCCCATTAGACTGGGATATCAGCAATTATCCTGGTATGAGATATCCTTTTCTCCCCATTAGACTGGGATATCTACACTTATCCTGGTGTGAGATATCCTTATCTCCCCATTAGACTGGAATATCTACAATTATCCTGGTATGAGGTATCCTTATCTTCCCATTAGACTGGGATATCTACACTTTTCCTGGTATGAGGTATCGTTATCTCCCCATTAGACTGGGATATCTACACTTTTCCTGGTATGAGGTATCCTTATCTCCTCATTAGACTGGGATATCAACAATTATCCTGGTATGAGATATCCTTTTCTCCCCATTAGACTGGGATATCTACACTTTTTCTTGTATGAGGTATCCTTATCTCCCCATTAGACTGGGATATCAACACTTATCCTGGTATGAGGTATCCTTATCTTCCCATTAGACTGGGATATCAACACTTATCCTGGTATGAGGTATCCTTATCTTCCCATTAGACTGGGATATCAACACTTATCCTGGTATGAGGTATCCTTATCTTCCCATTAGACTGGGATATCAACACTTATCCTGGTATGAGGTATCCTTATCTCCCAATTTGACTGGGATATCTACACTTTTCCTGGTATGCGGTATCCTTATCTCCTCATTAGACTGGGATATCAACAATTATCCTGGTATGAGATATCCTTTTCTCCCCCTTAGACTGGGATATCTACACTTTTCCTGGTATGCGGTATCCTTATCTCCTCATTAGACTGGGATATCAACAATTATCCTAGTATGAGATATCCTTTTCTCCCCATTAGACTGGGATATTTACACTTTTTCTTGTATGAGGTATCCTTATCTCCCCATTAGACTGGGATATCAACACTTTTCCTGGTACGAGAAATCCTTATCTCCCCATTAGACTGGGATATCCACACTTTTCCTGGTACGAGATATCCTTATCTCCCCATTAGACTGGGATATCAACACTTATCCTGGTATGAGGTATCCTTATCTCCCCATTTGACTGGGATATCTACACTTTTCCTGGTATGAGATATCCTTATCCCCCATTAGACTGGGATATCCACACTTTTCCCGTTATGATATATCCTTTTCTCCCCATTAGACTGGGATATCTACACTTTTCCTTGTGTGAGATATTCTTATCTCCCCATTAGACTGGGATATCAACACTTTTCCTGACATGAGAAATCCTTATATCCCTATTAGGCTGTGATATCTACACTTTGCAAGTCAGAGAAATAGATATCTGTCTAACCCTAGAGTAAAGACGGGGGGGTGTTCCTGTCATAACAATTAAATCACATTGGGTCAATTATTTATTGACGTCACTACAACTATGTCAGATCATGGTAGATAACTCATTGGGTTTGCTGGAAATCCATGCAATCAATGTGTGTGTTGTATTTAAGTGGGAGGGGGGGGGGACTTATCATTCCCAAATTTAGTAAAAATCTCTACCCTCAGGGTAAAACACTAACAATATCTGGCACTTGGCATAGCCTCCAGCTACACATTTAACAATCCTATCCTTTGGATGGAGATTTTTTTTCTTACACTCAAAGAGGTTAAAGGTTCTATTAGTGTCACCCTTAGGGTTGAAACAGGGGGATTCTCCAGTCAACACAATTTTACGACAACAATGCATGAATGTCAAGTTAACAGGGGCCTCCGTCAGCGATCTTTGCTTTCCAATAATTACAATGAAAGTTGCACAACTAATGTTCAAGGAGAACCTTATATCAAATTTGAGAAAGATCCCTCCATATGCTCTTGAAAAATAGTGTTAGCAAACTAGAACTGTCAAAATCCATAATGGTAATCTGGCAGCCATTTTGTTCTTCAAACCAGTCCCAAAAGATCAAATAAGGATCTGTTGAGTTGGTCTTGTGAACAAAGGGCACAGAGGGCCTGTATCTCTCATCTGGATATTTAAGCGGTCATAGCAAATTATTCTCTGAAACTCAATATTATACTGTACTACAAATATTTCAATCGCAAACTTTGTCGGCTCAATCCTTTGAAGCTACCAGCCAAATATTGTTATATGATTCTATGTTTTTTCGGTTCTTCAGAAGAGGTTGTTTGAAGTGATTGACATAATTTTGTTGGTTTTATCCCAAGCAGCTAACAGCCGAATCTTATGAATCCATGCCTTTGAGTTCTTCAGAACAACGTGTTTGAAGTGTTGTTGACCCCTGTGACCTTTAAAGTAGGTTTAGATCATTTTCATTCATATGCTTATATGAGCTCTATCCCAAGAAGTCACCAGCCAAATATTATGATTCTATGCTTTTTGATTATTCAGAAGAAATTGATGTTTTTGACATATTTGACCCTGTGACCTTGAAAGTAGGTAAAGGTCATTTTCATTAGCAAATTTCGTCGACCTCAATCCAAAGAAGATACCAGCCAAATATTAAGATTCTATACCTTTCATTTCTACAGAAGTCGTTTGAAGTGTTTGACATATTTGACCCCTGTGACCTTGATAGAAGGTCAAGGTAACTTTCACTAGGTAACAGACTTTGTCGGCCTCTTACAAATAAAGCTTTCAGCCAAACATCGTGACTTTAGGTCTGTCCATTATTCAGAAAAAGTTGTTTGATGTGTTTGACATATTTGACTCATATGATCTTGAAAGTAGATCAAGGTCATTTTCGTTCTCAAGCTTTGTCTTGCTCTTACAAATGAAGCTTTCAGCCAAATATCATGACTCTAGGCCTGTTCATTCTTCAGAAGAAGTTGTTTACAGGAAAAGTTGACGGACGAAAGACGCACCATGACATAAGTTACTTGCCCTTCGGACAGGTGAGCTAAAAAGTGATTAACAAGAGTGATTATAACATCACACCATCTGATGTTGGTGGGCTACGATGAGAAAAAGGCATAAACGCTTTGGGGAAATGTTTTATTTTTTATATAAAGGCATATTACATGTCATTGTGACTTACATCAACATGACATCAGAATATTACATGTATGTGTATTTAACAAGGAAACTAAATCCAAATAGATATACTGCAGAGCAAAATCTTAGTGTGTGGGTCATATTTACAGGGTTATCAACTTATACAAAAAATATGTTTCAATTTCAAAGGATCCCCGTACCACTCCCAAAAACTGTGACTATGTATTGGAAACTTCAGCTTTGATTTATCATTTTTGAAATTATTGAGGGATTTGTATTAACCCTTTCACCCCTATGTAATTTAGGTAGACTCTACCATACATTGATATGAATGAGTCCATTATGGTCTACAGTGGTGAAAGGGTTAAAAGTATTACAGATGAAATAAACTAAATATTCCACAACAGTTTCTGAGTATATAAATTTAACTCACCAGACAAAGATTTGAACTCTCATATCAATATACTATTGCTCCAACTAGCTAAGCAATTTGATCAACAGAAGTGTCCTGGCCTAGTCGTCCTACAGTTATATCCTTAATAGGGAGGTTACTGTATGTTTAGACTTTTGCCTGTAGGGGGACAGGGATCCTTAAATATTAACAAAAATCATATTTTTTCACTATAAAACCATATATTTTATTGCACAATGTCTATTAGTTCGAATTATTCTGACGTAATATCAACTTTTTTTAAATATCGGTCTGGCGTCGATTAACGTCAGAACTCCGGCCCTCTATTACATGCGGGAAATAAGCGATCCGCGCCAGGGTCGCTCTTCAAACTGATATTTTAGAAACAAATCGTCACTTTCACACACATGTCGCACATGGATCGAAAGATCTATTCTTAATGCACTAGGTGGTATCAATAACATGTTTCAAAGATCATTACGAACGGTATTTTCCAACGTTTTCTATACGAACCCATGCTTTTAATGGAAATTAGGGCATCAGCCATGTCACATGACTTGACGAGATCTCGCGTTACCGAAGGTATTTCCAAAAGTTATGACGAGATTTTAGTCACGTGGCATTAGAAGGCGGGGCTATCAAAAATGTAAAGTAAAAGTAGAGTAAGTTTGAAAAAAGATGTTTTTAGTGATTGTATTGGTTGTTTGAGGCATGTTATGTATGTTCGTCTTGTACATAAAGAATAGATCTTTCAAAAGTTAATAAAACGTCGGAATAATTTGGACTAAATGTCTATATAAGCAAGAATACCACATACTGACTACATATTAACCATAGCAACAAATAAAGAATTGTCCTGTTTCAGTGATTGTGACATTAATTGAACAACCAGGTACACCATCACAACACTGGTTATGAAGGACAGAAAATATGGGATGGGGATATTTGTGGTATACGAACATGTTGGTCAGAATAAGACAGCACTAATGGGCAGATTGATTGAGTGGTTAACACGCTGGCCTTCCATGCAGGCGGCCAGGGATTGATCCCTGAAGACGTCATAAGCATGGATATTCAGAGAAAGAGTTTTTCTCCTGCCCACACAACTCCAACAACCCAGGTGGAGTATAAAATGGTCTGGGGTGGGTGTTGCGGTATCTGTGCTGTAGCATTCAAGTGAGGTGTGAGGTGGCACTATAAATAATGCCGTTGGAAGCACGGTCCCACTACAAACAGAACACATTACATCTCCAGCACACACGCAGTCATCCACACATAGGGAGATATTAGCCAGGTGGCATAGGACTAGTAGTAAGCACCTGATAATTCCTCAAAATTGTATTGATTAATATATATGCTTATTGTATCAATTGAATAATATTTATCTTTTTACTGTAAAGCGCTTAAGAGTGGCTTATGTTAGCTATATAGGGCGCTATATCATAAACAGAAAAGCAGGATGGAATGGGATACTCTTATCAAACACCTGTACTGGTTAAAAATTACTGACCCTACTGAGCTCAGTGAAGTAAGTGGACAACCACTCGAACTGATCCTAATGAGCTCAGTAAGTGGACAGCGACTCTAACTGACCCTACTGAGCTCAGTAAGTGGACAGCCACTCTAACTGATCCTACTGAGCTCAGTAAGTGGACAGCCACTCTAACTGATCCTACTGAGCTCAGTAAGTGGACAGCCACTCTTACTGATCCTACTAAGCTCAGTAAGGTGACAGCCACCCTAACTGATCCTACTGAGCTCAGTAAGTGGACAGCCACTCTAGCTGATCCTACTAAGCTCAGTTAGTGACAGCCACCCTAACTAATCCTTATGAGCTCAGTATGTGTACAGCCACTGTAACTGATCCTACTGAGCTCAGTAAGTAAGTGGACAGCCACTTTAACTGATCCTACTGAGCTCAGTAAATGACAGCCACACTAGCTGATCCTACTGAGCTCAGTAAGTGGATGGACAGCCACTCTAACTGATCCTACTGAGCTCAGTAAGTGGACAGCCACATCTAATAAATCCTGACCAAATAAGGTAACTCATGTGAGTTTCCTAATGAAACCAAAATCTTCAAAATTCTATCAGGGTTATAGCAAAGATTATTTAAGTGCACATGGTTTTTTTTGGCTATTCTTTAAAAAAAAACTGTTATGCACCAAATACTTAATAAAATGATGAAGGGGTTTATAAAGAGTACACACACTTGTTTTTTTGGATTATCCCCTACAGTACCTACTCTTTCTATACAATATTTCAAAACAAGTTAAGTTTTCTTTCAGACTGATAATACAAAATATTTCCGCTACAAAAAGTTGGAAATTATTCGTCTTTGTTGATGTCTAATTTATCTGTTTGGTCTATGGTTTTCTCGATTGGTGACTCTAAAACATTTGCTACATGATTGCAGGAGTTATCTCCCTTCCCTCTGAAACGCTCCTCACAGTTCCGCGAGTCACCTGTCACTTCCTGTATCGTATTTTTATCCTCTTTTTCAGTGGTTTCATTACCACAGTCCGTGATTTCAGTACAAACATCACTCTTTTCCTCTGAATGATCTACTTGTTTTGTTACAGCCTCCCTTTTTTCCACAGAATGATCTACATGTTTTGTTACAGCCTCCCTATCAGGGGATTTTTTCTCAGACCTTGGCACATCTCTTGCACTTCTTTCCTGGTTTGTAGGCAGTTCCATCATATCTGTCATCTTAACATGAAAAACAAACAAAATCTACATCAGTTCTGCTATGTTATTGTCTTTAAGTCTCCAAAGCTGGTACACAGCAAATTAACTGTGAGTTACTTTTTATTCTGTATGCTTGGACCAATTGGCAGAAACGATATTCATTTTTGCATAACACAGGTGACCTCATCACACATCCTATCAAAACAATGCTTTAGGTAAATACAGGCAGCATCTGCAGACCTCTGAACCTTGTTGTTATGCTAGTAAATGAACATTAAACATGATTACATTCATGTTAATGATTAAACTACTCGGTTGAAATCAATCATAATAGCCTATTACGTACAATATTCTGTTAATGATTAAACTACTCGTTTGAAATCAATCATAATAGCCTATTACGTATAATATTCTGTTAATGATTAAAGTACTCGTTTGAAATCAATCATAGTAGCCTATTACGTACAATATTCTGTTAATGATTAAACTACTCGTTTGAAACCAATCATAATAGCCTATTACGTATAATATTCTGTTAATGATTAAACTACTAGTTTGAAATCAATCATAATAGCATATTACGTAAAATATTCTGTTAAGGATTAAACTACTCGTTTGAAATCAATCATAATAGCCTATTACGTATAATATTCTGTTAATGAAATTTTGAAAATGAAACTACATTTTGCTTGTCTTTTTATTTTTTGTTTTTGTTTTTGTTTTGGCTTGTAGTTGCATCTTTTGTCAAGTTATTTTGTCGGCCTTGAGGCCAATAAGTGTACAGTGTCGGATTTAAAGTCCTTTGTTTGACTCCTGCAGTTATTGTTTTTCTGGAGGATTTTTTTTTTTTTTTTTTTTTCATGAATATTCAGATATTTAGAACAACAATAACTCTGTAAACCACAAAGCAACATGTATATGAAATACTACTGTTGATAAGGACTTTAAACAAGATACAACAGCCAGGGTCATATGAGGACGGGTGCCTAGGGAGACACAACAGCCAGGGTCATATGGGGACGGGTGCCTAGGGAGACACAACAGCCAGGGTCATATGAGGATGGGTGCCTAAGGAGACACAACAGCCACGGTCATATCAGGACGGTTGCCTAGGGAGACAACAGCCAGGGTCATAGGAGGATGGGTGCCTAGGGAGACAACAGCCAGGGTCATAGGAGGATGGGTGCCTTGATTTTTCAATCATAACAATGGGCCATGGGGAACCCAAATGTGAAAGTTAAGAAATATCGCTCCAGTACTTTCTGAGAAATAGGGTTAACAAGTACTAACGAAACTTATGCAGTTTTATTTGCAGTCTGGATCCTCTAATACCCCTATATACCAATTTTAATAAAAATCGAAAATATCTAAATTTCGACCAATCAGAAGCCTCCATGTGGTTGTTATGGCAACGAAACAGCCTCCATGTGGTTGTTATGGCAACGAAACATGATTTTGCAGTCCCTTTATACCCCTATATACCAATTTTCATCAAAATCGAACAATATCTAAATTTCCACCAATCAGAAGCCTTTGTGTGGTTGCTATATGGTTGCTATGGCAACGAAACATATGCGGTTGAATTCACAGTCCTCTAATATCCCTATATACAAATTTTCATCAAAATCGAACAATATCTAAATTTCGCCCAAGCAGAGGCGTCCGACTGACCAGTCGGTTGACCGATCGAAAAACAAAATACTCTTGCGCACCGCCTGTCATACACAAACACTCATGTAAAGTTTGGGGGACATAATAAACTGTCACTCTCAAATTTCAAGATATCCACCTGTTTGCCATCTTGGTTTTATGATCAGTCCCAAAATTTGACATATGTAAAAAGGGACCATGGGGAATGCTTACTGTAAAAGTTGAAAAAGATCCCTCCAGTAGGCCTACTTTAAAAGAAACAGTGCTTACAAACTTTAACCCTCAAAATTCAATATGGTCAAGACAGACAGAATAATGAATGGATGATGGACCATGGATGAAGGCGATGTGAACAGGCTACCATATGTACCCTCTGATGATGGTGGGCTAAAAAGTAATGCCTGACAGACAATGGACAGACAGTGATGGTGGGCTAAAAAGTAATGCCTAACAGACAATGGACAGACAGAAGACAGAGTGACGGTAGACACCTCACTATGAGATAATCTCATTTGCACTTCGGAAGATGAGCTTAAACAAGTTCATGATACTGATAATGGATATAATGTATCTAAACTTCTTAAAGCATTGATCCTGAATAAAAGAATCACGTAAACATTTAATCATACTGTTCATAACTTAACATATAAACATTGTGTTGATTTCAGCTTGAGCTGGTTGAACCGGATACATAGAAGGGGTCCACGTTGTTAGGTTGGATAGACAGAAAGAAGAGAACGCAGGAAAGCGACGGGATGTTGGATAGACAGATAGAAGAGAACGCAGGAAAGCGATGGGATGTTGGATCGACAGATAGAAGAGAACGCAGGAAAGCGATGGGATGTTGGACAGAGGATGGAAGTTGGTTACAGAAGAACAGTTTATTCAACCGATATGTCGTTAGCAGAATAATAGTTTTATAAAAATTATATCAGCTCAATTTTTATTGAGAGTTTTCCTCTCTTTTACTGTTAACACTGAGTTTTTAGGAGATATTAAGAAGGTTTTGACATTTTTCAAAGGTAAGGAAGCTATTTGTATTTTACTTGATGAAAATTATTGTGAATTAATGTGCTTGAAGTTAGCTAAATAGAGATATACTTCCCAAATAAAGTCAGTGCAATAAATAATGGTTTATCAACATTGACCGATTTTTTTCTTGTGAAAACAACAGTAAAACCTAGATAACGGAACTTCGATGATTTTAGTGCAACTCATTAACTGACACAGAACTAATTAAGATGGTACAATGGTGGGCGCCAAGGTCCCTCTCTTGTTAAATTGGTGATACTAACATAATGACAAACATTTATACACGATGGTGTTCCATACCTTTGGTTTTTCACTTCCCTCCAGAAGGGAAAGTTCGTTGAACATATTGACAGCATTCATCAAGACATCTTTGATGTCTTGCCTGGAAGTACGATCTGATGGCAGTTCACCACGCTGTAACAGCCAGAGTACATATTACACTACGTATTACCAAAACATCCATTGCCTGGAAGTACGATCTGATGGCAGCTCACCTCGCTGTAACAGTCAGAGTACATATTACACTACGTATTACCAAAACATCTATTGCCTGGAAGTACGATCTGATGGCAGCTCACCTCGCTGTAACAGCCAGAGTACATATTACACTACGTATTACCAAAACGTCCATTCTCTGCTGTAAATTAAACAGCTACTAAATATAGCAGTTTCTAATGCCACTTACACCAAAACATTTATGTTGATGTAACACTGTGAAGCAGAACCTGCGTAGTGGACCAAAACATTTTTAATTTCTGTCTTGGTATCGTTTATGACACCAATGCCATTGTATTTAAAAAGACTTCTGTATAACATGCTAACATGGCCTTCCTTAGATCAGAATATTGATACATTTTAAGGAATACCTGGTAGTGATATTTTTTTAATTTTCATGTATCATTTTCAGATTTGTCAATGTCTGATGAGGTTAGAGAAATCATAGCTCTATATAATACGCTGATCCCAGTAATCCCATAAATAAAGGTACAAAAAACCTCACAAACCATTGGTAAACAAGCCATTTGGATTGATATGTCACCTGTATGCCATGCTTTGACCATAAATGCACATATAAGAGAAACTAACTTTAACGCAAAAACTTAATGTTGATGGAGATGCTGACAAAATCAATGGACCAAGAAAGGTAGGTCGCATCAAGCATTTGATGTATGGGTTGAGATTTACTAGCTAAGATGCATCTATGGTCCAAATTTGGTTGGTGTAGCGCTTACACTTTCAGTGAAACTAACTTAAACATTAACTAACTTAAACACAAAATCTTAATGTCGCCGCCATCGCCGGAAAAGCAACACCTAAGTCTCGCTTCCACTTCATGGCGGCAAGACAAAAATGATCCAAAATGCCTGAAAAGTAGAAAGAGGTAGGAGGGCCTACTGTATATGACAGCAGGCCACACTGACAAAGCAGCGATGTGCTACTGAAACTATCAGAAACTGAGGTAATGTTGTTTCCCAGTGTAAAAGCTAATGACAAGAGTCTGTCGTACCACAGCCCGTTTGGTGGGGTCGACTCCCTCCTCCAGTAGGACGTACACCATCTCCTCGTTGTCTCGGTCTACTGCCCAGTGTAGCGCTGTCCAGCCATTCTAAAAGACGAGACGTCAGTCTTATAATGTCCCACTCCACTTACTTAACGGATATTACAGAACATTGGGATTTTTATGATAAACATATAAACTGAAATCTATCAATTTTATAACCATTAGGAAATATCCTCACTCAACTTAGCATGTAAGATAGAGTAACCCAACATAATCAAAAATCAGTCCAACTCTAAACTCACCTTTACCCACCTGAGAAAATAAAACAGTGTTTGCTCTGCTCCGCCATTGAACTACACTGAGTTCCTGAAGCTCACAGGTATACGCATGCTACTTATGTTAACAATCAGAAGATTTCTCCATTACAGTAGACCTCTGTGATTATCAGCTTGACACATTTACCATGCTGTGTGGCATACTGTAGGTGGCAGCAGAATTTTGAAACCCCTTTCCCCTTTTCTAAAATTAATGTGTCTGCCCCTACATTAACTAGTGAAGAAATGATGTAATTTGAATTTAGATCTTTTTTACATTCAATTTGTAAATTCACCTACATTATAAGTTAACTTCACAGTTTTTCAACTCTAATCATAGTCATGCAGTGATCAAAATATTACCAATCATAGTCATGCAGTGATCAAAATATTACCAATGTGATTGAAGATCATCTAAACAAGAGGCCCATGGGCCTTAACAATCAGCTGAGCTATAATATTGTAACAGCTGTTATTGCTGTAATATGACCAAAGGAATCGTACATGTTTGGGAGTGACCACCATGTATCATATTTATAGATGGTAACTGTCAGATAACTGTAAATTTATCATGTTATATTGTATTATAGAAACATTTACTACCCCCTCCCCAATGAAAAATAGTGACATTTGGGTAACCTATCATTGAAGAGTGTTTGATTCTAGTGTATCTGGGTCTGAAGAAGCATTAAATTATAGATATTTTAGTCAATTTGACACCTTTTTGGGCCCCTCCCCTCAGGCCCCTGTTGGTGAGTCAGGGTCTTAAATGTTCATAATATCAAATTCAATCACATGATGATCATTCCAACTTGTACCCAGTGGGAATTGTTTCCCATTCAAAATAGATAAATTGTACCCTAAAATAATATTTCCCGATATAAAGTATAGAAAGATTTACCCACTCCCCATGGTGATGGGGGTAAAGTCATTCACTACATTAATAAAGCATCTTTAGACCTTTCCATCCATGAATAGCTCACAATTTTGGTTTATAAGAAAATGTCACAACATAGCTTTTAAAAGAAGTATATAATTGTATCCTTAACCCTTTCACCCCTATGTAACTTTAGTAGACTCTACCATGCATTGATCTGGACAAGTCCATTATGGTCTACAGTGTTGAAAGGGTTAACATCAGTGAATGAACTCCTTAGTTTTTATAACTAGTAATGTGTGCCCTTACAGTTCCGTATGCGTTGATATCACAGCCGCTAGTTGTAAATGCTAAGGCCACTTCTGGATGGTTGTGGTAGGCAGCAAACATGAGACCAGTGAAATCCGCCTGAACAAACAATACAAATAAATGAACAAGAAGACATCGATATCCCCCATTCGCAGTGCAAAAGTCATTAAAAACATGAACCGTAAAATATAGGTCCAAATCAGCATCTACAATATGCATTCAGTAGAGCAACCCTAGATACACAATTGATGCAAGTATATTCAACATAGCACTTGTAGTAGGCAAGATAAAGATGAAAGCAATTATTCTTAACCAGGTGCATGGAAGGACGAACGAATCAACACACAGACAGATGCAAGGACCCTATTTCTATATCCCCCGCCAACTCGTTGAGCAGGGGATAATAAAGGATTAGTTGACAAATGTGTCCCATTCACACACTGGGACCATCATAAACAGTGGACAGTGTCCATATCACACACTGGGACTATCATAAACAGTGGACAGTGTCCCTCTCACACACTGGGACCATCATAAACAGTGGACAGTGTCCCTCTCCCACACTGGGACCATCATAAACAGTAGACAGTGTCCCTCTCACACACTGGGGCCCTCATAAACAGTGGACAGTGTCCCTCTCACACACTTGGGACCATCATAAACAGTGGACAGTGTCTCTCTCACACACTGGGAATATCATAAACAGTGGACAGTGTCCCTCGTACACACTGGGACCATCATAAACAGTGGACAGTGTCCCTCTCACACACTGGGGCCATCATAAACAGTGGACGGTGTCCCTCTCACACACAGGGACCATCATAAACAGTGAACAGTGTCCCTCTCACATACTGGGACCAACATAAACAGTGGACAGTGTCCCTCTCACACACTGGGACCATCATAAACAGTGGAGAGTGTCCCTCTCACATACTGGGAACATCATAAATAGTGGACAGTGTCCCTCTCACTCACTGGGGCCATCATAAACAGGGGACGGTGTCCCTCTCACACACACGGACCATCATAAACAGTGAACAGCGTCCCTCTCACATACTGGGACCAACATAAACAGAGGACAGAGTCCCTCTCACACACTGGGACCACCATAAACAGTGGACAGTGTCCCACTCACACACTGGGGCCATCATAAACAGTGGACGGTGTCCCTCTCACACACTGGGACCAGCATAAACAGTGAACAGTGTCCCTCTCACATACTGGGACCATCATAAATAGTGGACAGTGTCCCTCTCACATACTGGGACCATCATAAACAGTGGACAGTGTCTCTCTCACACACTGGGACCATCATAAACAATGGACAGTGCCCCTCTCACACACTGGGACCATCATAAACAGTGGACAGTGACCCTCTCACACACTGGGGCCATCATAAACAGTGGACGGTGTCCCTCTCACACACAGGGACCATCATAAACAGTGAACAGTGTCCCTCTCACATACTGGGAACATCATAAATAGTGGACAGTGTCCCTCTCACATACTGTCCCATTCACACACTGGGACCATCATAAACAGTGGACAGTGCCCCTCTCACACACTGGGACCATCATAAACAGTGGACAGTGCCCCTCTCACACACTGGGACCATCATAAACAGTGGACAGTTCCTCTCCTAAATCACACACTGGGACCATCATAATCAATGGACAGTGTCCCTCTCACACACTGGGACCAACATAAAGAGTGGACAGTGTCCCTCTCACACACTGGGACCAACATAAAGAGTGGACAGTGTCCCTCTCACACACTGGGACCAACATAAACAGTGGACAGTGTCTCTCTCACACACTGGGACCATCATAAACACTGGACAGTGCCTCTCCTAAATCACACACTGGGACCATCATAAACAATGGACAGTGCCCCTCTCACACACTGGGACCATCATAAACAGTGGACAGTGCCTCTCCTAAATCACACACTGGGACCATCATAAACAATGGACAGTGTCCCTCTCACACACTGGGACCATCATAAACAGTGGACAGTGTCTCTCTCACACACTGGGACCATCATAAACAATGGACAGTGTCCCTCTCACACACTGGGACAATCATAAACAGTGGACAGTGTCTCTCTCACACACTGGGACCATCAGTGTCTCTAAACAAGTTCTAAACAAAACAGACTGAGCATTTCAACATTATCATACAAATCTCTACTCTCTGTGTTTATCATACAAACCTTTCTTAAATCTCCACTCTCTGTGATTATCATACAAACCTTTCTTAAATCTCCACTCTCTGTGTTTATCGTACAAACCTCTCCTAAATCATTACTCTCTGTGTTTATCATACAAACCTCTACTTAATCTCCACTCTCAGTGTTTATCATACAAACCTCTACTTATTCTCCACTCTCAGTGTTATCAGACAAACCTCTACTTATTCTCCACTCTCAGTGTTATCGTACAAACCTCTACTTATTCTCCACTCTCAGTGTTATCGTACAAACCTCTACTTATTCTCCACTCTCAGTGTTATCAGACAAACCTCTACTTATTCTCCACTCTGTGTGTTTATCGTACAAACCTCTACTTATTCTCCACTCTCAGTGTTATCAGACAAACCTCTACTTATTCTCCACTCTCAGTGTTATCAGACAAACCTCTACTTATTCTCCACTCTCAGTGTTATCAGACAAACCTCTACTTATTCTCCACTCTCAGTGTTATCGTACAAACCTCTACTTATTCTCCACTCTCAGTGTTATCAGACAAACCTCTACTTATTCTCCACTCTCAGTGTTATCATACAAACCTCTACTTATTCTCCACTCTCTGTGTTTATCATACAAACCTCTACTTAATCTCCACTCTCAGTGTTTATCATACAAACCTCTACTTATTCTCCACTCTCAGTGTTATCGTACAAACCTCTACTTATTCTCCACTCTCTGTGTTTATCATACAAACCTCTCCAAAGTCATCACTCTTGGTATTTATCATACAAACCTCTCCAAAGTCATCACTCTTGGTATTTATCATACAAACCTCTCCAAAGTCATCACTCTCTGTGTTTATCATACAAACCTCTCCAAAGTCATCACTCTCTGTGTTTATCATACAAACCTCTCCAAAGTCATCACTCTCTGTGTTTATCATACAAACCTCTCCAAAGTCATCACTCTCAGTGTTTATCATACAAACCTCTACTTAATCTCCACTCTCTGTGTTTATTATACAAACTTCTACTCAATCTCCACTCTCAGTGTTTATCATACAAACCTCTCCAAAGTCATCACTCTTGGGATTTGTCATACAAACCTCTCCAAAGTCATCACTCTTGGTATTTATCATACAAACCTCTCCAAAGTCATCACTCTTGGGATTTGTCATACAAACCTCTCCAAAGTCATCACTCTCTGTGTTTATCATACAAACCTCTCCAAAGTCATCACTCTCTGTGTTTATAATACAAACCTCTCCAAAGTCATCACTCTTGGGATTTGTCATACAAACCTCTCCAAAGTCATCACTCTCTGTGTTTATCATACAAACCTCTCCAAAGTCATCACTCTCTGTGTTTATAATACAAACCTCTCCAAAGTCATCACTCTTGGTATTTATCATACAAACCTCTCCTAAATCACTACTCTTGGCATTTACGTCGGAGCCAGCCGCTATCAGAATGGTAGCGATATCACCAAGCCGTTCCTCATGGTAATCTTGAGACCGAGCTGTTTCATGTAAAGCTGTCCTTTCATCCTTTGAAGATAAAAAGGTGTCCTTAATTGACTGACAAATTTACTTTGAATTGTATACATGTTAACAAAGACATAGACAATCTTACTAATTAACTCATTAACATTTTGAATTCCCTAATAAGACTGGGGTTTTCATTAGTCACTGGTGTTACCTGTCTCTGATGTAGCCTTAGTCACTGATGTTACCTGTCTCTGATGTAGTATTAGTCACTGGTGTTACCTGTCTCTGATGTAGCATTAGTCACTGGTGTTACCTGTCTCTGATGTAGCCTTAGTCACTGATGTTACCTGTCTCTGATGTAGTATTAGTCACTGGTGTTACCTGTCTCTGATGTAGCATTAGTCACTGGTGTTACCTGTCTCTGATGTAGCCTTAGTCACTGGTGGTACCTGTCTCTGATTTAGCCTTAGTCACTAGGGTTACCTGTCTCTGATGTAACCTTAGTCACTGGTGTTACCTGTCTCTGATTTAGCCTTAGTCACTAGTGTTACCTGTCTCTGATGTAACATTAGTCACTGGTGTTACCTGTCTCTGATGTAGCCTTAGTCACTGGTGTTACCTGTCTCTGATGTAGCATTTGTCACTGATGTTACCTGTCTCTGATGTAGCCTTAGTCACTGGTGTTATCTGTCTCTGATGTAGCCTTAGTCACTGGTGTTACCTGTCTCTGATTTAGCCTTAGTCACTGGTGTTACCTGTCTCTGATGTAACCTTAGTCACTGGTGTTACCTGTCTCTGATGTAGCCTTAGTCACTGGTGTTACCTGTCCCTAATGTAGTTTTAAGGATCCCTTCCCCACTACTAAACAAAACACCAGAGAATAACACCATAGTTTTTACTACAAATAGTAATATCCCTATTGTTTATGGATAAATATAACTGTTGTACACTAGAGTTCCACCGTTGACCAGAGAATTGAGCTGGTCAGAGCACCAGTATAATGATCAAAAGTTCAGGGTTCAAGTCCTGGTCCTGTCCTGTAGTATTTTTCACTTTGAACAAGCTTATTGATTCTATTTAGTTCATTTCATTTTTTATGAAAGTATTGAAGCTATAATCATGCTAAAAAAACCACTAAAAAATCCAATGCAGATAATTATGCAAGTTCTTGCAGTTGTATATATGCAGTCCTTGGATATAGACTACCGGTAGTTCTCATATACTCATACAAGATATCCCAGAGGGATCTTGGCGCCCACCATGGTACTGCTTAATTAGTTCTATGTCAGTTCTATCTTTTCTCTTCTTTTCTCTTATCTGTTTTATGGGTTTGCCTGGCCGCCATCTTGTTCTTTTGATCAGTCTCAAAAGTAAACATTCACAACTAAGGACCAAGGGGAACCTTCAGTACTTTCTGAGAAAAAGCGCTAACAAACTTAAACTATAAAAAGATGGCTGCCAGCTGTCCGCCATCTTAGTTTTCAGATCAGTCCAAAAATTTGACATGTATAACTTACAATCAAGGGGAACCTTCATGTTTAATTTAAGAATTTTTTTTAAAAATGGCGCTAACAATCTATAAATCTCAAAATTCAACATAACTGTATGTTTGCCATCTTCCCAAAATTTGATATGTGTAACTAAGGACCATAAGAAACTTTCATGTGGAATCTGAGAAAGATCCCCGGAGCACTTTCTTAGGAATAGAGATAAAAAACTTTACCCCTCATATTCAAGATGGCTTCCTGTCAGCCATCTTGGTTTTGTGATCAGTCCCAAAATTTCGTATGAGTAACTATGAATAAGGAACCTTTATGTGAAATTTGAGAAAGATCCCTCCAGTACTTTCTGAGAAATAGCACTAACAAACTTAAACTCTCAAAATCAAGATGACAGCCTATTGGTCATCTTTGTTTTGTGATCAGTCCCAAAGTTTGATATGCATAACTAGGGACCATGCAAAACCATGTGAAATTCAAGAAAGATCCCTCCAGTACTTTCTGAGAAATAGTGCAAACAAGCATTGTTTAAGGACGGACGGACGGACCACGGACACTGATGATGTTGGGTTAAACGTAATCACCATTGATTGTTTTTTATACTTTCTTCCAAAATTGATTTCACAGACTTTCAGATAAACCAAAAACATTTCTATCACTGAATCAAAATACAGCTAGCCTGAAGAATACACTGCTGACATACAACAAGACGTACCTTATTTTTTGTGTTGACCTCAGCACCATGTTTAACTAACACCTTGACCGCCTCTAAGTGGCCCCAGTATGCTGCACAGTGAAGGGGCGTCCAGCCATTCTGTCACACACAATCATAGCTCAAACTCAGATAATTTCCAGTTAAACTTCAAATGAGGTGATGATAAAAATTATGGTTAATTAAACCTGGCCTATGTTATAATAATTATAAAACAAATTACAAACTCTTTTAAGGAAGCATGCACAGGATCTCAGAAATCAGAGTAACCCAAAGCTAAGTTATTATTTGTTTGGGACATCAAATTCAGAAACCAAAGCTGGCTGTCCTGGTGGAGGGCGACTGTACTGACCACTTGTTACATACACAGGTGAGGATGTTTATAACAAAATTAAATATCTGTACTCACAAATTACCACTGTCCATTTCTGTATAATTGATCCCTGTCTATTATTTATATCCCATTTCTGGACTGACAGCACATTGATGTACATCATGTTTTATCTGGTGTCTTGATTTTTTTTTGTTCTATCTCAATAAAATTACTGTTTAAAAAGTGGAAATGTTTGCAGTGTAGAAATTTTCGTGTCAGCAAATTTCTGAAATCTATTTGTTTTATTAGTATATAATCTATAAATAAATGTTCATGCTGATTTAATCAATGCGAAAAAATACAAACATTTTCACACTGCAAAGATTTCAACTTTTGCAGCATTCGTTCCATTTTTATCCCGATTCATCTATTTTTGCCGAAATTGCCAGATGACACCTAGGCTACCCCATACCGAAGGGGACACTGACAGTATGAACTAAGTACACTGGGCCTGACCTTGTCTTGTGTGTTGATTTCTGACCCGGCATCTATCAGGGTTTTCATGATGTCTGAATGGCCTTTCATGGCAGCATGATGGATCGGCAGGTTTCCTCTCTATAATTGTAACCAAACTATTGTTCAGAACACATGCTCTTTGAATTGTCAACATCATTCCCAAATAGAAAGAATCACCTGTTTATTTATAGTAACTACATTGAGGACACTCCATGGCCCAGCTGTTCAAAAGGTGATTAGCTTAATCAGAGATTAGCACAAATTCTATTTTTTGTGTATCTTTCAGACACAACCATTGAGCTAGTTACAACTTTCCAGATATCAAATATTTAGTAAAGTGAATTTACATTCAAAATTGTGAGATTTTACCTTGTATATCAACAAAATTATTAAAGGTTGAAAAATGTCGTTAAACTGTGATAGAGCTAGTTACAACTTTCCAGATATCAAATATTTAGTAAAGTGAATTTACATGCAAAATTGTGAGATTTTACCTTGTATATCAACAAAATTATTAAAGGTTGAAAAATGTCGTTAAACTGTGATTAAGTTAATCACCTTTTGAACAACCGGGCCCAGATCTCTAATGTGTTACAAACCTGCATTGATTATGACTCCAGTCATCATGTTAACAAAGATGCTCGGGAGATGGAACAATAATTCCATCATTTAGTTTTATTCTTTTTTGTTTTCAATAAAAATCATTCAAGAATCAATCATAAGGGACACTTCTTGTTAAAACTAGGCAATTATCAGTAAGCTATTTAACATCAGTAATGATTGATAAAGTAATAGAACTTTAGCCTCCATAGGATATGTTTGATAAGAACAGAATTAGTTTTATATTGTTTTAATTGAAGATTTTTTAAATTACTGAACATTGACGTTATATGTCAGACTTACGTTATATGGTTAACTTGAGTTATATATCAGACTCACGTTATATGTCAGACTTACATTATAAGTCAGACTTACGTTATATGGTAGACTTACGTAATATGTCAGACTTACATTATATGGTAGACTTACGTTATATGGTAGACTTACGTTATATGGTAGACTAACATTATATGTCAGACTTACGTTATATGGTAGACTTACGTAATATGTCAGACTTACATTATATGGTAGACTTACGTTATATGATAGACTTACGTTATATGGTGGACTTACGTTATATGGTAGACTAACATTATATGTCAGACTTAAGTTATATGGTAGACTTACGTTATATGGTTAACTTGAGTTATATGTCAGACTTACGTTATATGGTAGACTTACTTGTCAGAATTACGTTATATGTCAGACTTGCTTTATATGGCAGACTTACGTTATATGGTAGACTTACGTAATATGGCAGACTTACATCATATGGTAGACTTACGTTATATGTCAGACTTACGTTATATGTCAGACTTAAGTTATATGGTAGACTTACATTATATGGTTAACTTGAGTTATATGTCAGACTTACGTTATATGGAAGACTTACATTATATGTCAGACTTACATTATATGTCAGACTTACGTTATATTGTTAACTTGAGTTATATATCAGACTCACGTTATATGTCAGACTTCCATTATATGTCAGACTTACGTTATATGGTAGACTTACATTATATGGTAGACTTACGTTATATGATAGACTTACGTTATATGGTAGACGTACGTTATATGGTAGACTAACATTATATGTCAGACTTAAGTTATATGGTAGACTTACGTTATATGGTTAACTTGAGTTATATATCAGACTCACGTTATATGTCAGACTTACATTATAAGTCAGACTTACGTTATATGGTAGACTTACGTTATATGATAGACTTACGTTATATGGTGGACTTACGTTATATGGTAGACTAACATTATATGTCAGACTTAAGTTATATGGTAGACTTACGTTATATGGTTAACTTGAGTTATATGTCAGACTTACGTTATATGGTAGACTAACGTTATATGTCAGACTTACGTTATATGGAAGACTTACGTTATATGGAAGACTTACATTATATGTCAGACTTACATTATATGTCAGACTTACGTTATATGGTAGACTTACATTATATGGTAGACTTACGTTATATGGTAGACTAACATTATATGTCAGACTTAAGTTATATGGTAGACTTACATTATATGGTTAACTTGAGTTATATGTCAGACTTACGTTATATGGAAGACTTACGTTATATGGAAGACTTACATTATATGTCAGACTTACATTATATGTCAAACTAAAGTTATATGGTAGACTTATGTTATAAGTCAGACTTACGTTATATGTCAGACTTACATTATATGTCAGACTTACGTTATAAGGTAGACTTACGTTATATGGTAGACTTACGTTATATGATAGACTTACGTTATATGGTGGACTTACGTTATATGGTAGACTAACATTATATGTCAGACTTAAGTTATATGGTAGACTTACATTATATGGTTAACTTGAGTTATATGTCAGACTTACGTTATATGGAAGACTTACATTATATGTCAGACTTACATTATATGTCAGACTTACGTTATAAGGTAGACTTACGTTATATGGTAGACTTACGTTATATGATAGAGTTACGTTATATGGTAGACTTACGTTATATGGTAGACTTACGTTATATGATAGACTTACGTTATATGGTAGACTTACGTTATATGGTAGACTAACATTATATGTCAGACTTACATTATATGGTAGACTTACGTAATATGTCAGACTTACATCATATGGTAGACTTACGTTATATGTCAGACTTAGATTATATGTCAGACTTACGTTATATATCAGACTTACGTTATATGTCAGACTTACGTTATATGGTTAACTTGATTTATATATCAGACTCACGATATATGTCAGACTTACATTATATGTCAGACTTGCATTATATGTCAGACTTACGTTATATGTCAGACTTACGTTAGATGTCAGACTTACGTTATATGGTAGACTTACATTATATGTCAGACTTACGTTATATGGTAGACTTACTTGTCAGACTTACGTTATATGTCAGACTTAAGTTATATGGTAAACTTACGTTATATGGTTAACTTGAGTTATATGTCAGACTTACGTTATATGGAAGACTTACATTATATGTCAGACTTACATTATATACGTTATATGTCAGACTTACATTATATGCCAGACTTACATTATATATCAAACTAAAGTTATATGGTAGACTTATGTTATAAGTCAGACTTACGTTATATGTCGGACTTACATTATATGGTAGACTTACGTTATATGGTAGACTAACGTTATATGTCCGACTTACGTTATATGGAAGACTGACGTTATATGTCAGACTTACGTTACATGGTAGACTTACATAATATGTCAGACTTACGTTATATGGTAGACTAACGTTATATGTCCGACTTACGTTATATGGAAGACTGACGTTATATGTCAGACTTACGTTACATGGTAGACTTACTTTATACGGTAGACTTACGTTATATGTCAGACTTACGTTAAATGGTAGACTTAGGTTATAAGTCAGACTTACGTTATATGTCAGACTTACATTATATGGTAGACTAACGTTATATGTCAGACTTACGTTATATAGTAGACTTACGTAATATGTCAGACTTACATCATATGGTAGACTTACGTTATATGTCAGACTTAAGTTATATGGTAAACTTACGTTATATGGTTAACTTGAGTTATATATTAGACTCACGTTATATGTCAGACTTACATTATATGTCAAACTTAAGTTATATGGTAGACTTACATTATATGGTTAACTTGAGTTATATGTCAGACTTACGTTATATGGTAGACTTACTTGTCAGACTTACGTTATATGTCAGACTTGCTTTATATGGCAGACTTACGTTATATGGTAGACTTACGTTATATGATAGAGTTACGTTATATGGTAGACTTACGTTATATGGTAGACTAACGTTATATGTCCGACTTACGTTATATGGAAGACTGACGTTATATGTCAGACTTACGTTACATGGTAGACTTACATAATATGTCAGACTTACGTTATATGGTAGACTAACGTTATATGTCAGTCTTACGTTATATGGTAGACTTACGTTATATGATAGACTTACGTTATATGGTAGACGTACGTTATATGGTAGACTAACATTATATGTCCGACTTACATTATATGGTAGACTTACGTAATATGTCAGACTTACATTATATGGTAGACTAACGTTATATGTCAGACTTACGTTATATAGTAGACTTACGTAATATGTCAGACTTACATTATATGGTAGACTAACGTTATATGTCAGACTTACGTTATATAGTAGACTTACGTAATATGTCAGACTTACATCATACGGTAGACTTACGTTATATGTCAGACTTACGTTAGATGTCAGACTTACGTTATATGGTAGACTTACATTATATGGTAGACTTACGTTATATGATAGAGTTACGTTATATGGTAGACTTACGTTATATGGTAGACTAACGTTATATGTCCGACTTACGTTATATGGAAGACTGACGTTATATGTCAGACTTACGTTACATGGTAGACTTACTTTATACGGTAGACTTACGTTATATGTCAGACTTACGTTATATGGTAGACTAACGTTATATGTCAGACTTACGTTATATAGTAGACTTACGTAATATGTCAGACTTACATTATATGGTAGACTTACGTAATATGTCAGACTTACGTTATATGGTAGACTAACGTTATATGTCAGACTTACGTTATATAGTAGACTTACGTAATATGTCAGACTTACATTATATGGTAGACTAACGTTATATGTCAGTCTTACGTTATATGGTAGACTTACGTTATAAGGTAGACTAACATTATATGTCAGACTTACCTTATATGGTAGACTTACGTAATATGTCAGACTTACGTTATATGGTAGACTAACGTTATATGTCCGACTTACGTTATATGGAAGACTGACGTTATATGTCAGACTTACGTTACATGGTAGACTTACTTTATACGGTAGACTTACGTTATATGTCAGACTTAAGTTATATGGTAAACTTACGTTATATGGTTAACTTGAGTTATATATTAGACTCACGTTATATGTCAGACTTACATTATATGTCAGACTAACGTTATATATCAGACTTACGTTATATGTCAGACTTACATTATATGTCAAACTTAAGTTATATGGTAGACTTACATTATATGGTAGACTTACGTTATATGGTAGACTTACATTATCTTTCACATTCACATTACATTTTGCATCCAACAGCATTTGTACAATGGTAGGCTTCCCTTGAGAGGCGACATGGATAGGACAGCAGTCATGCTGAAATATAGTGACGATAAATTAACCAACTCCAAAACGTTAACAGTCAGAGGTCGATATTGATCCTAAAATTATGAATTCAAAGAAGATTTATAGTTATGTAAAATCTCACACATGTATAGTTAGAGAAAGTGCACAATGTTTGCTTAAAAAGATTTTAACAAATTTAAGAGAGTTTTTTTTTTTTAAAGAATGAAGATTGATCACCAAAGACTATATAATTTGAATCAATCAAGTGGAAAAATGAGTTGAATGCTGGCTTTGGAATTTACTTGGTTTTAATGCACAGATGATTATGAGCTATTTTTATTTTGGATTCAGGGAATGTTTGAAAAAAAATCAAATCAAATTATACCTAGCATATCCTTAACAAACTAGAATCCCTCCTTCAGCACTTACTGTGTACGAGACCCAGTTTACATCAATATCACCATCTGAGAGAAATTTCGCCACTCTGTCTGCATGACCGAAGCCACAAGCTTCCCAGAACGCCTCCTGTTTGGATGCGGCTTGTCCCATGATGACGCTGTCTTCAGCAGTACAAGTCGACCATTCCTTGCTGTCTTATTACATGGTTGATGAAATCTGGTAAAAATTAAAAATTATAATATGAAAAGTACACAACAGATATAGTGAAAAACAATCATTCATGTAGAAATTCCTGGGGCAGACAGGCTGGATGGGAAGACTGGGTGGCAGATCAGGCTGGATGGGAAGACTGGGTGGCAGACAGGCTGGATGGGAAGACTGAGTGGCAGATCAGGCCTGTATTAACCAGGGTTCGGATCAGATAGACTCATGAACATACCTTACACCAAGCTGCCCCAAACATATGCAAAGTGAAGTCTGAACAAATAGAGGGTTTGGGGGGAGGCAGGGCAGGGCAGCGGTGTACAATTTTACTAGCCCAACCCCCAGGGCTAGTACATGTTATGATGGGACAGGTGAAAATGGTATGTTATTTTAGCAACTTTCTCTAGAGGAAATGTCTAAATCGAGTTAGCAGAGCTGGCATCAATTTGAACCAACACAACAGTTTAATAATATCTTTCTATCCACACTGCAACACCCTCTATTATGTGCAGCATGCACACCTGTGCTTGTTAAAAGGGAGTATATTGTGCCTGAAAAGAATAGTGCAGACTGGTATGAGTATACTTAATTTCATCAGATCAGAAAAAGAACAAGAGGCCCAGAGGGCCTGGCCTGTATCACTCACCTGAATATGTTTAAAATAATTGGTCTGAAGTAAAGATATAGCACTCCATGGTAGGTGCTATAAGTACATATGAAATTTCAGAAAGATCCATCCAGTACTTGAGATATAGCGAGAACAAACTTCAAACAGAGCTCCACCCCTATGCCCCTAAGGGGGTCATACCCACCAATTATACAAAATTGAGTCCCATTGGCCCAAGGTTGCTCCAGACTAAATAAGGATAAAATCCCTTCATCCCAATGGTAAAAGAAGGATTTTGCGGTGGGTGTAGGACTAGGGTGTATTGGAGTGCTTGGGGAGTGTGGGGTGGGGGTGGGGGTGGGGGTGAGAGTAGGACTAGGGTGTATTGGAGTGCTTGGGGAGTGTGGGGTGGGGGTGGGGGTGAGAGTAGGACTAGGGTGTTTTGGAGTATTTGGGTAGTGTGGGGTGTGGGTGTTGAGAGTAGGACTAGGGTGTTTTGGAGTATTTGGGTAGTGTGGGTGGGGTGGGGGTGTGGGGTGGGGGTGTGGGGTTGAGAGTAGGACTAGGGTGTATTGGACTAGGGCGACTGATTGGGAGAAATGAGAATTAAAGGTGATGCTACCCATGTTACAGCCTCACAAAAGCAGCAGTACTGACTGCCTTCTAGAAGGCATCAAAGGATGGACTGCGACAGATTTCTAGGGGGAGGGCGTTCCATTATTGTAAGGGGGAAGGAAGAGTATTTATAGAAGTCTTTGTTGGTGAAAAAAAGGGTGGGCGAGTACATTTTGACAGTCTCGTAGTTGGATGATTTACTGTGGCTATTGTTTGACAGACTATTTTGTAGTAGAAACATAGTCTGGCTACAGAACTTCTTAGAGCCAATGTAGTCTCCTTACCATGATGGCCGACACACTCACGAGATGAGAGAATTCATCAGTTACCCACCTTGCCGCTCTGTGCTGGACCATTACCAGTCGATCAATTAGATCTTGTGTGTATGGGTCCCAGACACAGGCGGAATACTCTAGTTTTGGACATACCAGTGCCTTTGTAGGCTGCAGCCTTTACCTTTTCATTGCTATACTTTGATGTTTGATATATCCTAAACTTCTGTTGACTTGGTTACTTAAAATGTAATGCGTTACTTGCAGGTCAAGTTTGATGATTTGGTTACACCAAGGTATTAAACATGTGGGGTAGATGCTAGTCCTTGCCCATGTAGCTCATATACTGAAGCTGTGTTGGAGTTCAAACATGATGTTGCTCAAATCAAAATGTCTGACCAAGTTTGATGCAATAAATATGTTCCATGGCCTTGCACAAAATACAGGTTAAGGATTCAGGATGGTAGTTGGATGCTCTAAATTTCTCACCTTTCTTATATAAAGGAGCAACATATTCAAATGTCCAATGGGACAGAAGTTTACCAGTTTGGTATGACGAACTAGACAATACCTGTACAATGGATGCCAACTCACCACAAAGTTCTTGGAGAACTAATGGTTAGATGGTGTTGGGTCCACGGGCTTTATGTGAACTTAGTTTCTGAGGAAGTTTACCATTCTGAGGAAGTTTACCATTCTGAAGTTTACCATTCTGAAGTTTACCATTCTGAGGAAGTTATCATTCTGAGGAAGTTTACCATTCTGAGGAAGTTTACCATTCTGAAGTTTACCATTCTGAGGAAGTTACCATTCTGAGGAAGTTTACCATTCTGCGGAAGTTTACCATTCTGATGTTTACCATTCTGCGGAAGTTTACCATTCTGAAGTTTACCATTCTGAGGAAGTTTACCATTACCAGCAGATGAGAGAGTTTTGTCTGACATCGGATGATAGTTACACGTAACAGTTACATTCAGTGGCAGAGAGTCATTGTTCCGTGGTTTACTGATGACATAGATGTTTGAGACTGAAAAGGGAATTGGGCTTAAAGACAGATTGAAACTGCTCATTTAGGATGTTTACTTATCTACATCATCCGTATCGAGTAGACCATCTTATTTCAGTGGAGCATTAAGTGATACCCTGGGGATCTTGTCGATTGTTCTTTAAAAAGCTGACTCATTCTGTTTATGAAATTATGGTCAGTAGCTATATATATATAGGTGTATGGTCATTTGTTTCCATACCTGTTGTGGGATTTTTAATAATGCAGATACTACGGAATTATTGCACGTATGTAACTATTAATGTATTTTTGAGAACATTGGTCTTGGGTACTGATCCGATATTGGTTTTCTTTCCTTATACGTATCCATCTGTTCATCTGTCAGACTATGGACAGATGAAGGCGGACTTGATTACGCACACCAGGAGGTGGAATTTTTCTTTACTAATCTTTAACATCAGCTAATAAGTAAGCAAGATACATGTAAATGGGCAATATGCACTCACCTGCCTAATTAAACCACGTAACGAAATGTAAAATGTTACTCGGCGAAAGGCCTACTATCGCGAGTGAAAACACCGGAAGTAGTATACTAAAATAAGACCTGGTCAGAGCAAGACGGATTCCGTTGTTGGGCCTTTCCTATTTTTATCATTTTCAAATATAAGATTTTAGGGTATAATCACAGAGGACTACAGTCTTTGTCAAAGCCAATTAGAAACCCTCCCATGGGTCAAATCGTTTGGACCGTAATATTCAAATAAGTAATGTCTTCGGGTGCGTCTAATTACCCAATACTACCCAATACCACCCAATACTACCCAATACTACCCCATACGATCCAGTTATGAACCAAATACTTCTTTATTACTGTGAAATATCACCTTTGTAGACGTTATTTACTTCCATCTGCCATATTTTATCGGGAAATATGCGATTTGGTGCCGAAAACATCACCGAATTGCCGTGACTATGACCC